TGGATCAGGTCTACCTTAATTTTCGATGTTTATTTGAAAAAAGGAGTCTCTGGGTATAACAGATGAATAACCTCCTTATAGGTGATGTCTAAAGGGCCTGTCAGCCAACAATCTTTTAACGATCTTGACCAACCTGATGCCCCCCCAAGGAAAACACCATCCCAAAAGAAAACTAACAGGAAATTTCCCTCCGGATGACTGCAGTTGGCTATCTAAAAACAGAACGGTCAGATGGAAAACTAAATTCCAGAAAATCTAAATCTAATGATGGTGATTTATCAGGAATTGATAGAATCCCATAAAGTCTGTAATTTATGGACCCGCTTATAACGAAAACTTGACAGTAGGATGATCAAGCCCTGTTTAATATTAAGGCCCTGTCCTCTCTTAAACAGAGAAGCGAGGAGGGCAGAGGAACACCTCAAGAGGGATGCAACTTCCGGATCATTGTTCCTAACTATTCAAAACTCCAATAACAAGAAATCGGCAAAACAGTATGCCACTATACAATTCATGTTTTCAGGGTTCATTCTCACTCTATAATTACTTAAAAGAAATCCTTCTTTAGGAAATCATTGTAATGAGAGATTTTCAAAGCAACAATCTTGTTCCTTTTATGTTTTCTTTAAAAAAATCTTAACTAATGGAATGAATAAGTGTTTATCCATTAATGAAAAATGTCTAAAGCGTATCTTTAGTTCTCTTTAGCCCCAAAACAAAAACAGGTTACAGATCTCCCATCCTATTGTATATTTAACTACCCACCTTATTTCTCCAACCTAAAAAGAATTTCCTAAAAGAGGAAGGGAGGGTTACCAGATGAGTAACACCCAATCCGAAGTAGGATTTTCGCCTTTATGTTGACTAGGATGACTGAGTATTCTCCGACAGAAAAGGAATATTTTGACAAAAGAAATTACGTTACAAAGAACAAAAAAGGATAATACGGATAAAACCAACCCCCATCTTCCTCAAACAACCAAGAAACATCGGTCACCTCCAATAGGCCTTAAACTGGACTGGATGAAACAAGAAAGGAACCAAAAACAAAGCTGATAGAAATCGTAAGAATAAGCCTATATATAATATTTCTGAAAAAAAAGATAAGCATGAGTGTGACAACCAGCAAGTTGGTTTAATCATTTCTACAAGGCCAAGCAATCTCTTTAACAGGTCACATCCAAAAAATCCTTGAAAGCCCTCTCCGTCAAAGACAGCCCAGTTAAGAAATCACTTTCTCAATCTATAAAAAGTAACCCCGACGAAGAATCCCTCCACAACTCTGGAAATAGTCTGATCGACTCAAAACTATAGAGGAATTTCTCAGCAATAGAACGTCTTAATCTCTATATACTCCAGAAATCTTATTTTATGTCTGTGTGAATCATTCTAAAAGCAGGACAAGAGCTACCGGCGAACAAAGCAATCCGGAGCTAGTGTTACCATGCAACCACTATATCATATTACTAATATAAAGAAAAACTCAAAGAAGCCCACAGTTTAATTAAGTCATAAAAAAAAGAACTTAACTAGGAAAACCCAAATCTCAAGCCACAGTACATATAGCCAAATCCCAAAAGTCCACGCCCCTCCAGAAGTTATGTTTTTTGAACAGGTCAGCGTAAATTAAGATGATGATTTTATTTTTCCTGATCAACTACCTCAGCTAGCCTCAATACATCTATCAAAGCAGAATGAATAGATGCCTCCTTTTAAGTAACTTCACTAAATCATCACCCCCCACAACAATTAGAAGTACTAATTGTAAAAATTCTAGACCGAAGGAGTGTCTTTCAAGTTCTATTGTCATCTAAGTCACTAATCCCTCCATTAATTATGAAAACAGCACGTCAACAGAACAACCACCACGAACCCCCCAGAAGAAATCATCTCCACTACCTAAAACCGTGAAACACGAGAAGAAGGTCCAGTGGAAGAAACAGAACAAATTAACCCCATCAATCCCTAAGCAAGACCAAACAAAAACAAACCGAACCCTCTCTTCCCACTATCAGGAGACTAAATGATACATAACCAAAATACCAGTGATAAACGGCGAAAGAATCCCACAAAATATATGACAAAGCATCCATTCAGGTAAACAACCCCCTTCTTCCCCCCCCCAGCAGGAGAGACTAATAAAATTCTGAATGCAACCGAATAACGACAAACAACCACACGTGATCACTATAAACCAACGAGGAAAAACCCCCTCCCAACGCAAAACCGCAAAATACCAACATCATACAAAAACCAAACAAGATTTACGCCAATATAAGAAACAATTAATCACCAACTGTTTAGCAACAACAGCTCCCCCCAGAGGAAAAATACACTAATCCAGGAGAAGAAAAAAGGACAGTCCCTCTCCCAAAACCCCCCTGACCCAACCCTATCCTGGAGTAGCCACAATGAAATGACGCCCGACACACCCAAAAATTAAGGCATCATCTGGAAATCCAATCCGAAGAGGACGTAATCAAAAACCAAGACCATCCTAAACTAATCTGATAAGAGGCTTCAACCACAACAACAACCAACAAGAATAACAACCTGCCTCCCCCACGTAAAAGTCAACCAATTCTTTGGACGAAGAACAACAAATATAGAATAAGCCAGGACGGGACGACTCCCTAATAAACCTCAACTTCTATACAGCCAAGACACAGTTTCCAGTCTATATAATTTCAGCCTCCTAAAGATGCACACACCTCAAGAAAGAAGGGTCCTGACGCCCACTGATTCTGGGAGACAACCAACAGCCAAAAACGTACTTCTCGGCTCCACAGGAGGATCAACACAAGTTTATCCAAGCAGGAGCATAAAGGTGTAGGTAACTCCTGCCAACGGGACTGGCCAAATCCTTCCCCCCCTGTGGCGAATAGGAATCAGAAGCAACCACAGCTAAAAGGATGTCTGGCGTAGGAAGGATTCTGAAGGAAGCCATTCAAGACCAACCAATAACCGCAGCAAAGGTAGAAGAAATAAAAAAGGCGGAGTGTAGAAATCTACGCCACAAATATCCGAATCAGGGGATGATCAATAAGGGTCCTACATCACTAACGAAGCAGGGACGTCCAGGCCCAGAATATCAGAGTCAATTTCATTTCAACTAATAGGAGGGAGGAGTCGAAAGAAATCCCAATCTCTAGTAAGTTCGGACAAGGAAAGAACAAATCCCAGCACCCAAACAAAAGATCAGGAAATTCAAAAGAAGGGGGATAACAGCCCTCAACTCCAACAACTCCCCGAAAAAAGCCAAGGACGAGCATAAAAGAATTAGGGACACCACCCCACAGGGAAACCTAACTCGCCGAAGATAAGAAAAAGTGCCCTATGTGAAAGACCGAACAGTCATCACTACATGTAGGTTCTCTGAAAGGGGAAGGAGTGTCTGGCCTGAAACCGAGCCAAGAGGACCTAAGCGAGCATCGTAAGAAAAGGAGAGAATCAAAAACTGGAACCAATGAGTCAAAGGAATAAAATGCAGTAACTTCATATAACTAAGAAGGGAACCCTCCACATGGGACCAACCAAATTGAGCCAGACTATTCACAGAGGAGCCTCCCCCAGGATCAACCTGTCTACACCAACAAATCAAAACAGGGGGACCCCTCTCCTAGTTAACCCTAACAGAATAAATCAAGCAAACTGTCACCACTCGCAGCATCCGAAAAAGTACAAACGGAGAAACAAAGGAAATGGAACTAACAGATCCTAGGGAAGAAAGGGGAGGGAAGGTCAGAAGTAGTCACACGGCAAAAGAAAAGGGCACACAAGAAATGATTCAGCAGTAGAGAACTCAACATTAAGAATCCACAGCCAAACCAATTCTTAAAAATCCAGAGAGCTTCTATCACCCTCCTAAATCAGAGTAGTGAAGATTCAAAGCAACCCAAGGTAAAGAAGAAAAACCAATCACGACAGGGGTTCCGGGAACAGAAATACCAGCAAAGAAAGTCAAGTGAAGGAGTTGAGGTTGAATTAGCTAGAGCCTCCACAAGACAGAAACCGGTCCAGGACTAAGTAAATCAGCAAGGTTCATTCAAAATTAAAGAGCCAGCCGTAACACTAGGCAATCAATCAAAGGAGAACAAGGCAGGATCAGGTGGATAATCCATACCAAGCAGACTCCCTCGGCCCAAATCTGAGCAGGCCAGAAACCGACAAAAGATACAGCAATATAGAACAGAAGGGACGAGGCTCCTTAGTACGTCAGAGGACGGAGTGACTCCAAGACTACCCCAACCATGGCAAATTCACTTCCTAAACACACAGCTCACACCCTCTGACTGGCAGATGAAGCAATGAATGAACAGTTCTCTGAAAGTGAGTAGGACTCAACACGCAGAATTCCGGAAGATGGAGGAGGTCATATATTGGAAGGAACCTAACAGGAGCTACCAAGAGGCAGGGGCAGAAAAAGGAGCTTCACATGCTAGCACAAGCCGCGAGAAACTGTGTACAAAGGACTTCGTGGGGGGGGGCAAAAAAGGGGGTCCGACCCTCGCAGGGGGATCGGAGCCGATGACAGAGTAAGGATTAGTATCACTAAAGCAGACTGAACAGACAGTTCAAGAAAAGCCGAGCCAGGATACCCAAATTCTGCCGATATCGGAGACTTCAGAGACAGAAACCGAGGACGGAAACCACGGCCCAAGAACAGACGACAGAGGATTAATGACGGAATTTGTCGCCGTCATGATATAAGGATGAAAAACCTGTTGCAGGCGACAGGGGACCTCCTGATCCAATTCGTGCTACCCTCAGACCAAGTGACGACCGAAGAGATCGAAGTGGAAGCCGGGATCCAGACCGAGGAGGATGTATAAAGCGACGAAGTAGACAGAAGTAGGCGGGGGAACGAGCAGGGAGCGGGCGGTCCTCTCAGAAGATGAAAGGAGTAGAAGGATAACGACAACTGCAGGGAGAAAGGGATAGAAGTGGAATTCATGAGTCTACCCAGAAGGACCAGTCAACCCTGAGGATATAATAGCAGCCGTCCAGCCCAATAGGTCACTAACCAACAGCAGTAAAGATCCTTCACAGGGGGGGTACTTTACTAGGGGCAGAAACAGCTACCTGAGCAAATAGGAGTTATACAAGTGAAGGAACCGGTAGAGACAATAGAAGAATGAGGCCACGACTCCGAAGGAACGAGCCAAGCGACTGGGAGAGGAGAAGAATCAATAATTACAAAACAATAATGACATAAGCAGATTGGGGGCTTCTCTCACGGGGAGGTACAATAAGACAAGATGAGATAGACTCACGACAGAGGAACCAGCAACCGCGCGAGGGAGCGGAAAGGATTCTTTTCAGGAAAAGAGGCGGGTCGAATAGAGAATCGGGACGATGAGAAATTCTGTTATCTGTCCAATCTTTGATGAAGTAGGCTACGGCCGAGGGAGAAGGGAGAATGGGGAGGGGGAGGAGGAGCTTCCAGTCAAATTCAGGGAAGAGGAAATGGAAGACTGTGAGGAGGAGCTTATTAATATCAGTCCAGCGCGTCCGAGTTAATTTGAGGAACGGAGGGAGGGGAGGTCAGTCATGAAGATAAGGAAGATGAAGCAGATGACCAGATGGAATAAATAAGGAGCTCGTAAATCGGCAGGAATACCGGGCCGTCCGGAAAGGATTCGACGAACGATCAGCGAAAACAGAATAATAGGGATCAAGAAGAAGAGGAAACAACAAGAATGGTTCCAAAGAATCTGACAAGGAATCGCCACAGGAGAGGGAAAGATTAACGACAGCTGCCCCGTCACCAAGACAGGAGGGGGGGCCCCGGACGAAGAAACACGGCAGCATACAAAACGGGCCTATATATAAGATTCCGAGGGGCCTAAACAGCGCAGCAAGACAAGAAGAAGAGAAGAACGAACCAGGTGAAGGGAGTCCCCGGCTACCTAAGGTAACAGACGGAGAGTAGGGACTGAGGAGATTGAATATAAAGGGAACAGCCAGCGGCCTAAACCCCGCCGAGGAAGTTAACAAGAAACTGAAGAGATGACTGAAGGCACCTAATATCCACCAGAGAGGATCCAGTCGAAGTTGTTGTCTTGGGTAGACGAAGATGACAGAACTCAAATGGAACCATAACCCAAGGAACACCCCAAGGGGAGGGTCTGGGACTCCATGTGACAAGACGGAGAAGTTCTGTTTCCACCTGTCCCCAGAAAAACAAGGAATCACAAGGATCGCCTCTGGAGTGGGACTCTGGCTCGGTCGGATACTGGGGCCAGGAGCAACCTATGCTAATCTGAAGGAAGGTTATAACCATGGAGCGATATCTTCAGAAGAAGGCAAGAGCGAGCTAACTTGGGAGGATATATTGGATAGTACCATAAAGTGGTGTACTAGCCGAGCAGCCGATAAGAGTAACAATAGAACCGAGGATCTCTACTTCACAGAGGCAGAGAGGAGATTATGGAAGGGATTGATGGGACAAAATAATAGTGTCCGATGCAGCCAACACGGCGATTGCCAAAAGATGATGTATCTGGTAGGTTGCATCCTTTACTGGATTTGGAACGGGGATACCAGACTCGTAAAAGGAAGAAGCGGAATATTGGGAGAATGTGAAACAATAAGAGAGAAGCTTCTAGGGGATAATAACCAGGAAATAATATCGGCCGAGGATGGCTGGAAGTTAAAGAAAATCAGCCCCAGCAGATGTGAGGCAGACCACAACTTCAAAGACTGTCAGCTGGAAACACTGAGTCTAGTCGTAAGCGTGTTAAAGGCTCAGAGGACTTTATGCCCGAAGTGTCCTTATGGGGGAATAAATAGTCTTTTAAAGGGCGTAAGGCAGCCAGGCCCAGGACAAGTGATGTATTGTAAAGACAGATCCAACGCGCCTTGTGAATGTCTCATCGTTAACAAAAAAGAAAGAAGAGGGGGAGAGATATTATTGGAATATGAGGAGGCAGCAACCCCAGCCGCCCCCCAAAAAGCTATACTCCTAAGCCAAACCAAGGCAAAAGCAGAAAGCACGGCAACTCCCAAAGGACAGGGGGACTTAGTTAAGGCAACAGAAGATAGACGAGGAGGACTAAAGAAAGATGGACACGTCGCCACGAACCCAGAGGTTGAGGAGTCAGGATCCAAAGGACAAAGACAAGTCTCCAAGCAAGACTCTAAAACAGAATCAAGTCAACAGGTCGAGAAGCAAAACCAAACGACAAAACTAGACGAACAAAAGACATTAAGCGTGGCTCAAAAGGAAGCCGAAGTGGCAGGCAGCAGTATATTACAAACCCCAGTCACAGCGAACAGAACCCCCGACGACCCAACACCAACCGCGCCATCCACCACCATAACTTCACTAACCAACCGACAAGCAAAAGATATCAACGGAGGAGGAGTAGACTCAGTTAGTTCTGAGAGGTTGGCGCAAGGATTAGGAGGCTTCCTGGGCGTAGCAGTCATGGTAGTTGCTTCAGGGTATGGTTTATATCGTATCTTTGGTAGAAGGAGGGCAGTCAACTCAGTATCAGAAACCATCAGGGACCCACAAAGGGTAGGATATCATATGGTTCAATAGAGTCCGAATCCGTGGAGCACAGGTAAACAGCAGATCAGGGTTATCGACTAAGGTCCCAGCAGACTATCAAGCCGAGTGAGGGTCGAAGATAAATCCAGGGACCATAAGGGGGCAGGACATCTATAGGTGGGTAAGGAAGCCCACAGGTTCAAGGTCTCCCGAGTTGGATGATTCCAGTGACACCAGGCCAATAAGCCTACGGGAATCTAGGTCTCAGGTCATAGTCGTGAGGTAACCAACAAGGCCACTTCCGAAGGCATAAGTCTGGTCAAGCGACACTCCCCAAGAAGAAGGAAAGAGACACTAAACAAAGTGAAGCCAAGTCAAGTAGGAGTTAAGGCCACCACTAAAAAGGCAATGGCTAAAGCCGAGGATGTATCAGGATAGGAGGGGGCGAAACTATTAATGCCAGTCTAGGACCTCCAACCTCAAAATCTCAAGGCCGTCCATAACCTAACGGGGCCCCCAAGAAACTGTAAGAACAGCATCAGAATAAGGCAGTATTTAACAGCAGCCGCCGGGTGGAAATAGACCCTGGAATCTTGGGCAAAATGGTCAACAAGTCCCAAAACGATCTGATGTCCTAACAGCGCAGACGTACTGAGAAGCTCCAAGTCCTAAAACTCCGTCAGTAGGCACCAATGACATCAACAGTAGTCACAGCCGATAGGAGTTCTTCACCATATCCCAAACAGAGGGAGGACATAGTACTGGATCTCCCCAAACATCCCCCTGCAACAGTGAAAAGGAAGCACCAAGGGTGTTTATGGGGGGTGTCTATAGGAGTCATAAAACTCACAGGCGGATCCTCAAGAGGCGGGACCACCCAGGGACTGTCCACGTGGTAGGTGGCCAAGGGACCATATCGTGAACTCCCAACCCGCGTGAAGTTCACTGCCCAGGGGGGTTCAAGGAGGCATTCCCGGAATACCTGCCCGGTACCATGCCCCGTGGCCGACCGGATCGTACCGGCAGCACTAGGAGAGTGCCTGACAAAGGAGTCCAGACGTCGGGGGGGCAGAAGGGAGGATGATATATTGTGGCGCCGCCGGACTTAGGGATTCCAATTTAGGTATGAGTTAGTGGAAAAGGTTTGGGGTTGTGGGTTAAATTTTGAGTTGAGGCTTCATGGTTTAGGGTTCAGGTTTCAGGTTTTAGGGTTCATGGTTTAGGGTTCAAGTTTTAGGCTTCAGGGTCAGGTTCTACGGTTCATGTCTCAACTGCGTGGATTTATGCTTAGGGTCGAGGGGTTAGGGTCTAGTCCTTATTGTTCACGTTTTATCTTTAGGATTTATTGTTCAGGTTTAGTGTTCATGGTTCAGGGTCTACGGTTTTCAGGTCGTGGGGCAGGGCTTATGGTTTGATCTTAGTTTTCAGGGTTTAGGGCTTAGGGTTTCGTCTTAGGGTTTAGTTTCCATGGTTTAAGTTTTACGTTTGACGGTTTAAGGTCCAGGGACTTGTGGTTAGGTGTTAGGTTCTAGTGTGTCATGATTAGGGGATTAGGTTCCAGGAGTCCTGGGTCCGTTTGTTTGTTTTAGGTCCTAGGCTCTGGAGACTAGGGCTTCGTTTTTACTGTTCAGGGATTTGTGGCTTATTGTTCAGCGTTTAGTCGCTCTCCTCCGGTTCAGGTCCAGAGAAGATCTTTCGGGGTTTAGGGGTCAGGATTTTTTTTCTTCTTGTTGTTTTTACCGGTTAGGTTCCAGGGTTAGGTGGAGTGTTCAGAGTCTTGGTTCCATGGGGGATGGCTTACATTTCATGGCTCACCCTATATGGTCGAGGTTCAAGCTTCCGGTTTTACGGTGTAGTGTTATTCAATGGTGGTTTAAGGTTTACGGATTAGTATTTTATGACCCAGTACTTTGAGTTTCCGGACGTTAGGCGATAATTTTTATCTTTTTGAGTCCCTTTTGGAACAAGGTTGCCGGATCATGATTTAGGGAGATGTTATTTTGCCTCATGTTTTGTCTTTAGGATTTATTTCTCATTGTCCAGTTGCCTGGAATTGACGTGTATGGCTCACGGTTTATGGTCTACATGTTATAGATTCTGCTGTATTGGTTTTTCGATAAGCCTGGTTTGTTTGTCTGTTCTGTTTACGTGTTGGCGCTTATGCCTCATGACTTAGCTTCCTTCATTTGGTTTCTATCTTTCAGGGGATAGGTTGTTTTGGGGGGGCCTTAGCCTGTCGATTCTTGTGATTAGCGGTCATGAGTTTGATCTAGTTGGGTATCCGATTATTGTGGGGGTATGTCGTGTTTGCTTATTGTTTCGGGGTCAGGGCGGGCTACAGGTCTGTTTTGTTTACCTTTGATGCGTAAGTTTTAGTGCTCACTATTGAATGTGTTCAGTCTTCTACTCCTGGAGCTAGTTTTGAGATTTTTTCGTTTCCTTTTTTTTTTTCCTGACACCTATCTTTCCTCTGATTCCTCATCCGCACGGTTGATAGGTATAGTATATTGCAAGGGGTTCTTCTTTGGGATTGGGGGCTATATTGTTGCTTCTATTTTGTCATTTCTCTAGCAAGGTCGGTTCTGGCTTCAGTAATTCTTTTTATCCATCTGAGTTCATACTTTTAGCTCTTATTTTTTATTTTTCACGCTCCAGGTGCCTTTGTATAAGTTCTTTCTTTTTGAGTCCTGTTTAGGATTCTAGTCTATTATTTTCATGGTGCAAAGCCTAATCTCTTTGTTCCACGATGTTGCATTTATGGGGTATTCTGCCTGCTGGAGGATTCGAGTTGGCTGTATTACTTTCCCTGGCTAGCCATAACTACTCAGCCGTCAAGGGATAATTTCTAT